CCTCTTCTCTGCTCCTTAGCTTCTTAGGTTTCCAATCCTAAGAGTCTTCAACTTTCCACTCTTCCTCAATACCTGCACAAAAAATGAGGTGGATTAAGGTATTGTTAGATGAATTTGGGTTAGTTATATCTGCACACAAAATGAACCAAAAAGAGAACAATTATATTGCAATGGTTCAAAGGATGAGTGGAATTTGTTCAATAAGTCTCATCCAAAAAGAGGTAAAATTGAGACTTAACAACTCCCCCAAACTTAGAACCTTGCTTGTCCTCAAGCAAAAGGTAATTAATCTAGCAGATAACAAGCAATGCAAGTGAGTCAATTTCTACATCCTAGTTTACTTGTATCTTCTTTTCGCAAGCATGAACCTCAGATGAATTTCCAATCACAATTATTGCAATAGAACATGACAAGGTGCAAATAAAGGTTTCAAAAGAGATCAAAGAGCTGAGAAGAGTAATGACTATCTGTGTATGCATTTTGTTCCCTCTCTAATTTTAATTTTTCTAGTAGTGTTTATAGGCTCGTTGGCATGGACATTTCTTCTTTTCTATTTTCTTTTTATTTTTATTTTTTTTACTGCACACCATCTTATCTATATTGTGCACCTTATCTATTTTCTACCTTATCTCTTCAGAATCGTACACCTTATCTCTTCAGAATTTACTATCTTATTATCCCTTCAGAATTTACTATTTACTATCCTATTATCATCTATCTTATCATTATATACTGCACCTTCGTGAATGCATCTTCGAAAATTACTATCCTATTATATATTACAAAATTATCTATTACAGGAATTCGTTGATAAGATTAAAAAAATTATTTAATTACTATTATTTATTTTAATTATAAAACTCTTTTAATAATCTCTATAAATATTAAAAATAAATAATAATCAATCATTAAAATCTCTAAAATGTTCTATAAAAACCCTTTTTATTATTAATAACTTTAAGAAAATAATTTCCATATATAAATATAAAAATAATAATTAACTATTGTATAAAATTTGGGATGTTACATGTTCCTTCATACGCTAATTGGGAATTTGTGCATGCAATCCTACAATTTCTAAAATTGTTTTATGATGCTACTTTGCACATGTCTAGCTCAGTTTATGTAACTAGCAATATGTCACTAGTAGAAAAAACACTTTTCACTAGTGCAAAAGAGGCTTTTTACGTCAGATATTTTAAGGTTTTTACGTCAGAAAAACTTCTGACGTTAAAGCGGGAGACGTAAATTTACGTCAGCATTTAAGATCGACGTAAATTTACGTCGGACATTTTTGAATACCGACGTAAAAAAGTTGCAAAACCCAAAAAAAATTACGCTGGAACGGCCCGTTCTCCTTACAGAACGAGCCGTTCTCCTTGCAAAATGGCTCGTTCTCCTGAGAGTCGTGTCCCTAACTTAAACTGGTAGTCCATATTCAAGATCCAGAAGGCCTTGTACAAATTTTGCACTCCTTGTCATACTCTACTCTTGTCTGCAGCCAAAGATAAACATTATGATACCATGCAATCTGGTGAATAAAGAAAATAGAAAAGCGAAAGGAGCGAAAAAGATAAGAAAGGAACCTTCGAACGTAGGAAAGGAGCGAAGAACGGGAAGGAAATCGGAGTGCTCCCAACCAATGGCGCGAGAAGCGCATGTGAAACAATGCATTTTTGAATGGAGAGGCGCTACGCAACTTAACTATGCATTTATAAAAAACTATTTTACGTCGGAGAACAAAGGGTCCGACGTAAATTCAACAATCTACGTCGGTTATAGCTGAGGTCCGACGTAGATTGTTGAATTTACGTCGGACCCTTTGTTCTCCGACGTAAAAAAGTTTGCATTATTTTCAAAAATGCCACCGCGTCATTTTTACGTTCGATGTGTTTTGGTCCGACGTGAAAATACAGACGTAAAAAGCCTCTTTTGTACTAGTGTTTAAAATTGGTCATTTTTTACTTTTAAAATCGGTTATCTGACCAATTTTAAAAGAGTCGATTTTAAAAAGTGAGACTTTTAACATCGGTTATGGCATGACCGATGTTAAAAGTGGTTATTTTTTTTAAAATAATTGACTTGTTTTAGGAGGATCCCTGAACAAAACTTGCAAATTGATAAAATACCAGACAATTCAAATGTTTTCAATGGACCAAATTACATACAAATGACAAGAGTTGGTAAATATCAACCATATATGTAATCAAAGTAACTTACAAATTATTATGCATCCTAAACTACAAAATGAGTAAAACTATAAACATAACTCGTAGCTAGTCAATGTTTCAATGAAAAATGTAGCCCATTGCTCCCTAATGGTGTTTATATCTTCTAGCGACAATGGTTTTTTTCCATTGCAAACAATCTGTTGGATGCCTAAGACTTCCATCACACTTCCTTTCATCTCCATGCCATCTCATTAGCTTTGCGTCATCTGCATTAGCAAATAGATGTTTTAATCTAAGAACAATTGGCAAATACCATAAAACCTTTGCTGGAGGACCCTTAGTGCTTACATCATAATCAGAATCATCTTGTTTCTTTCTATATCGTGACAACCCACGTCTTGGACATTGATGTAACCCTTCAAACTCACCATGATATAACATACAGTCATTTGGGCACGCATATATCTTCTTATACTCCAAACCCATAGGACACAACACCTTTTTTACCTCGTAGTTACGATTAGGCAATGTGTTACCCTCTGGAAGCATTTCGTTCAGAAGCTCTAACAATTCTGTGAAGCTTTTATCACTTCATCGATTTCTTGCCTTCAAATTGAACAATCTTAATATCGCTGAAAGTCTTGTGAATTTTGTACAATTTAGATACAACGGCTTCTCCAAATCGTTGCACGTAGTTTCATACATATGTGCACGCTTGAATGATTGTAGACCCACATCATGAAGCATCTCCTCTAACTGATCATTCATATGTATCTCTTGTGTAAATGTTTGAGTTTGAGTTTCGACTGATACACTTTGAATGCCAACATTTTCACCATGTCATATCCAACGTGTATAATTCTTAAGAAATCCATCACACAAAAGATGTTCTCTTATAACATCAAGTTCTAGGCGAGTCGCATTACAACAATTAACACAAGGACAAAAGAACCTTCCATT